AGGGAGAGAGAGAGAGAGAAACATCAATGATAAGAGAGAATCGATTGAGCCTGAAACCTGGGCATGTGCCCTGACTTGGAATTGAACCGTGACCTCCTGGTTCATAGGTCAACACTCAACCACTTAGCCACGCTGGCTGGGCGAAAACCTTTTTATTTTGAAATCATTATAGAAGTTGAAAGATTTGCAGGGCGGTCCAATCTGCCTGTAACTGACTGTCCTCCCTCAGAACCCATGATGATGCCCAAGTGATAATAAGGTCATCATACCTATCGCACAGCTGTCACTAGGCTCATCACTTTCATTCATTCAACAAGCATGTAACTGAGCACATACTACTGCAACTGCTCTCTGCACAAAACAGCCTTTCTACGGACCTTACCTCACAGTAAAATATTAAGTTTCACAAACATATGAAGTAGGTCACTAGGGGAGTTCAGTGTTGGGGGAAGTCAGGGGAGCCCTGGCCCCGCACGAGGGAGGGGAAGCTGAGTATTCTGGGCAGAGTCCAGAACAAGGCATGGACTTTGTTCAGAGACCAGCTAAGAGGCCCTGGGGGGGGATGGGGGGGTGAGTCAGGGGCCGGTGGTGGGAGACAGGGCACAGAGGGGCGGGGCCTGACAGGCATCCTCCCCAGGGGCTCCCAGCAGGGCCCTCAGCAAGGCTGTCTCTTCCACATGCCGAGTGTCTGCTCTGGGCCGAGGGGTCCTGTAACACACACCTTGTCCGAGTCCAGCACTGGTCACCATGGCCCCCACAAGGACCGCTAGGAGACAGAGCCATCGACATCGCCCAAGCAGAACTGCCACAGCCACCAGTGCCACCGAGTCCCAGCTCCGACCCGGGTGAAAGGAGACACACACACACCCAATCCTAAAGTTTCCCGAAGCCCAGAAATGCTGGCTCCTCATTTCACCTCCCCCGGCACGGAACTCAGTCCCGAAGCTCATGGCAACCTTCAGCAAGAGAGAAGCGAGTGAGTGAGCGTAAGACCGTATGCAACCCTGGCCATAGATGCAGCAATTTTTGATTTGATGTTTTTGTCATCAATACGGTTTTTAAACACAATTAGGTGAGGACAGACGTGTCTAGCAGTTCAGACACAGCACCTCTGAGGTTATGACCAACCAGCTGGTTAAAACGTCCCCAATCAAATCTAAACCTGAAGACAGAAACGAAACGGAGACTTCTGCTTCCGTTCTCTGTGGGCCACAACGGAACGAGTCCGGGAAGCATCTCCGAGGCAGAGACAGGGTCCTCCACACTCGACAGACACCTGGCACCCGGCGGACACGCGCACTCAGGGAGGAAGACCCTCCCGTCGTTCCGGGGACCGCGGGCGGGGCTGGGTGCGCGCGCCGCGACCTGGCAGGACCGGGCCGGACCGACAGGAGGCTTCGCACGGCCCAAACCCCCAGCGCCGCCCCCCCTATGTGCGGGACCCTGCCCCGCTGCCGTCCTGCGCCCGCCGAGGTTCCAACTCGGACAAAGGTATCGCGTGGGGGCCGGGGTC